ATTTCATTTCTCAGTAAAAGAATGAAGTGCCTTTGTTATCTGGGGCGGGATAGACGGATAATCATTCTACGCTGTACCTGGTTTTGCCTTTCTGTCAGCTTGCGAAAAAGTTAGGTGACCTACTGAGAAAGTGGAATAGTAAAACAATATATTAAAAAAATTAACACTTTCTTTAGCTGTGCCTTCTTTCCGAGAAGTTTCGCACCTTCGTTTTAGAGAAGACTAGTCCGAAACGACGTTTTGCTGGTCACGGGGATTCAACATCAGAGCCTAAGATTAGGGAGTCTATAGAAAATGACAAAACAGCAAATGGTCATTTTTTGCATATTACATGTTCAAGAAGCGTCGTGGTTCTTGGTTCTCGTGGTTATATAAGTCTTCAGCAACCCTTTGTAGTGAGTTGGTGGCTATATTCTAGGAGGATATTCCTGCAGGAGTTAATATATTAAGGTCTATCTTAGTGCTTAATAATGCTCTGTTGTTTAAGTAAGGCCCAACTTTGCTGGGATTCATACTGCATTATATGTTTTGTCCTTCTTCTACTTATGATCGACTCGGATGCCTGCGTTTTTATCTTTTCTAGATTCCACTAATATACTCTATTGGCGACTTGATGTAGGAAAAATCACTGACTTTGTCACCAATTAACTTGCAACCCTGAAATTTCGTTCGTGAATTCCCTGAAAGTACACTTGTGTCATTTAAGTTGTGAGCTTATCGGTACAATATTACAATTCCTTCCGCACTCATAAAAAGATTCAGGGAATTTAACGGGCAAAAACCAATGCTCCTTTTCTAGCCCGTTAATGTAATGCCGGGCTCTTGGGGCATCTTCACCCTAAATAGAGACGTTATTATGTTTCCTGCTCCTTTCTTCCAGTAAAGCCAATCCTTCAGCTTTGTCTAAACTCCTCCACTTGTAAAATTCAGAATATCGCAAATGGCTATAGGTATTTGTAACTAGTTGTGGGTTAACAAAATACATACAAACTTTCCTTACAAAGTTATGTATTACTCAGACCGGCTTTTCTCAGTTCATACGGAGAACCTGTAGTGTCTATAAATCGAATGTGCTATTTATATTCCTAGAAGGTAGGTTTCGAGACCACCATATCATGTTGGGAAAATTCAACGTCACCTTATGTGACCTATGGCAAATAAAACTCTGATTCTCGACTTTATAATAGCCTCGTAACCTATTTTCTGTGAAGTAAAGCTCAGCAGACTTTACGTGAATCTAGAGAGGGTATTCAGAGAGCTGTGTCAGCATGAACCTATCAGCGAAATTAAACGGTATTAGACAAATAAAACTTCGTCTTCGTCTTCTAGTGACAAGGATCTACATGAATCATCCTCACCACACTTTTTCAAGCAAAATGAAAGTCGGCATAACAATGATGTATCAGGATATTCATCGACAATCTATTACTTATCGTATTGGAAGACTATCATTTTTATTGTAATTATCTCGAATATTCTCTTCTTCATCTCACCGCGAACATAACTACTCCTAGCTCCCAGTCCAATGGGACCCGTCTATGGAATCATCTAGTATGGCTGAGCTAGGACCTGGTTCCTAAATGGTTGTGCAAAATGCCGTCCAAAAGACCTGTCCCAGACTTGGAATCAGATTGACACTCCATTCGTCCTTGCCTTAATAGAGGGTGTAGTAGATGACCTGCACTATCCTAAATCTGATAAGCCATTCTTGAAGCATTTTGGTCTAAAATATCATCTTCTTGTCTTTCTCTGTTTCCTTTTCTTTCACTTTGCGTATATATGCAACTTATGTTTCCTCAACCCAAAATGTCATAACCTCTGTCATTGTACAATACTGTTACAGAATAAATCTTATCTGAGCAAGAATCTTTGTTTCGGGCGCAAGTACGAGTTCGGTGTTATACCTGCTTTTAGTCCTTTCTCCCAACCTGATTATGAGCTCATTTCCATTTTGCTTGAAGGTCTGTAATCAAGCTACTCGTAGTCCGGTTTCTCATATATATATATATATATATATATGCAAAGAAACAGTGGGTTTTACATCTAAGGAAAGTCTCCACACCCATTTCTCATATGACAGACTGAAAGGTTTTCACTGAAACCAAAGAAGCTTGTTTCGAGGACTGCGTTAAGCCAAATGACATGAGGTCAAGGGGAATAGGCCATCGTCTTCTTAAAAAATCGACTTATGGCATTTTCTTCATCACCTATTTTCACTCGAAACGAAAGTGAGCTGAAGAGCTGTATTTTATTCGTGAACAGACTTTTATTTGTCAGACCAGTCGTTTTTTTAACTATAAACCCCAGTTTTATTATCTCCAGATTGATAAGATTTAGAAACTAGCAAAATTTAATGATAAATAGAAAATTGCCTTATCGACGATATTCTATGTATAAATGTGAATTTAGGTGACCCGGGTTCCTAGTCAGGACCTGAGGATAGTTTCAACAACTACTTATCCGGTTATTTACTATTTGATTATAATCAGGCTAACGTAAATCAGACTTCTTCTATTCGGGCTAATCTGAAATATACATTATAAGAGAGCAAAAAGCATTTCTAATGACTAAGACTATTTTCCATTTTTGCCTAGGCCCAATCGACTTCAAATAGCCGGTCTTTTCTTATCCTATCAGGTCAACTTGAACGGGTGTGAATAGTCGACATCCATTCTTGCCACCCAACGGCGGACTAGCTATGCATCTCTACCGTTAAAATTGGGATCAGTCCCATTCTGATTGGCTTATACTTGACAAAATTCTTTCCACTGAAACTGGGCTTGTCTTTTACCTCTCAGTGTCAGGGTCCGAGATCTCTCTACTTCAACCGGAAGAACTTGAAAAAACCGCATTATCTTGCGAGAAAACGTGGTGTGCTAAGCACGACTTTTCTCGTTGCACTAATTCCGACTGGACAAACTTAATGTGCCCACCTATGCGGCCGAAGAGTAGCTCGGGCTAGTTAATGCTAAACCACCAGCCAAACATATTGTTATTGGTGCAGTAATCTAAACATTTCTTCATTCCTAACAGCCATTTTGGGTTAAACAAAAAAAGCATCCTTTGTCCTATTGGTCGACCAAGCAGGGTAAGCATTGTACGCACATAATTCGTTGGTCGTTAGGTCTTCTGGGAATTGGTGTGAAGCGAAGCTCGATTTCGTCGATTTCTTTTATAGTGACCTTTATTTGCTTTGAAAAAGCGAGTGACCTCACTCGACGCACTGTCTTGCGTTGCGGAAGTTCACACTTCTTGTAGTCTGACCTCGTTTTCGAAACCTGGCCAAGGTGATAAAATCTTGCCCGGAATCCTTTAGCATAGTAATCGTGAAAATATCCAGCTTCACATCGTGGACTTAGTACATTACCGACTGTTGGTAGTGAACTCCGTACAAAGGAGCTTTCATCTAGGCCGCCCTAACAACATGATCATGTTGCAAAAGCGAGGTGAAAACACTTCGTCTATACAACGAAAGAAGACTGCTAACAAAAAAGAATCCTTACTTTCTTGCTATCCATACTTTCGATTTACCTTTATTGTCGAATCGCTTGGTGAACGCATGGCTTAACGCCCTTACGAGGTCTGTCAGGATTCATCGAGGTCGCAGGACTGCGAGCCGAGAATATAGTACCACGAATCTGCAATCACAACTAAAAGGCAACTAAATAACTAAATAACAACTAAATAACCTCCTTCAGGCGTCTACTTTTCCCTTTGAAGAGAAAATTGGTTCAAGCATCACCGGAAATCGAATGAGGCTTATGTTAAGGAGTCCTTGGTTCACCATCCTGTGACTCCGATGAACACGAACTGAGCTCTTCTCCGTAATGCCTATATCATCAGAGTAGGAAGCCATGCTTTACGACGATTTATCAATAATTAAACCGTCGAATGTCTATCTCAAAATGAGACATCAGATGAGCCGGTGACGTAATTCGCATTGGTAACACGAATGTAAGAAATAATGTAGAAGTCATCTGTGGATGTAAATAGAAGGCAGGCAACCGTTTGTGCAAAAATCCTTATGCCTATTAACTCTACACCCAAAATGTAGTACACCAAGGATGTGGTTGTGTGACTCAACAATTCATTTCTAACGAAAATTTGTTCGGAAGGCTGCACCGAAAATCGAAGTAGGAGGGCCTTTGGGTGGAGGCTGTTGGATTGTGCGAGGTATTTGTTTCTAATGAAACCGTGTTGAGCCTGCGTCTCTCAACACACAAGCATCGTTAGAGAGAATTTAATGGTGCTGTTTATTGTTAATTATGATTCAATCGGGCTTGCAGAACGGGGAGACAAGGTCTTCTTCGCTCAATTTAACAGCCTTTACTTTAAGGCAGTCCTCCTACATAATTGTTGAGCTTACTTCCATTTCGAGTGAAAGTGTTGGGTGAAGAGATTTGAAGGTCGGTTCCACCAGAAGACGAGGAGGCGGATTCCTCTTGACCAGCTGTCGATTAGCTTTACTGGAACATACATGCTGACGCTGTTTTTTGAGGTAATCTCCTTCGATTTCGGTGAAAACGAGCTAAGCTTTCGTCCGTCATATGACGGACATCATCAGATTGAGGTAAGATCATCACAACAAAATTCAAGAAAAACGAGTCAAGAAAATTCAGCAACAAATCCCTAAAAAGTGGTATTTATACTCTACATCTGACCTCTTTGATCAAGTATAAAGTAATTTGGTTAGTTACGGTCATATGCCAACTTCGATGCATGTGAGTGTGTCTGTCTCTGTATTTGTATGTGCATGTTTGTGTTCGCTTATGCACGGAACCCGAAGTGATGGCTCAAAGTGATTAGGACAGCAAAAAGGAACGTCTGTTTTTGGCCATCAAGGTTTGATGACCGCTATCTCCCCCTTTCTACATTTAAGTTATAATCATCACTCCGATTGTTTAAGGTCACTTTATACTTTATCAAATAGGCCAGATGTAGAGTATATATACCACTTTTTAGGGATTTGCCGGTGAGTTTTCTTGACTCGTGTTGTGACGATGATACCTTGCTCTGATGATGTTCATCATATGAGGGACGAATGGAGATTACCTCTTAAACAGCGTCAGCATGAATCTGCCAGTAAAGCCAATCGACAGCTGGTCAAGAGGAATCCGCCGTCGTCTTCTCGTGGAACCGACCTACGAATCTCTTCACCCAACACTTTCACTCAAAACGGAAGTAAGCTCAACAATTATGAAACAAGAGATTCCTCAAAACCCAGCTTTTCTTCGTATATAGTCATCCTACAGGCACCGGCGAGGTCAATTTACTAATACTCTCCAACCTCGATATGCACTCGAGTCACAGCAAATAATTAAGGAATTCTAATCAATTACAGCCTGTCCAAATTTACGAGACTGTTATATTCGCTTTTTCAACCGAAATCAAATGTACAACAACGTGGCCCAACTTTATCGATGCATTTAACATTTCATTGTCCCCCAAAACTGACTACTCATACCAGATGATGCCTTTGACCTAGCCCAGATATTTATCACACGTTAAAAGGGTCGAGTTGAATAAATTTATCCTTTATTTTCCCATCATATGATTATAAAGCAGCCCGTCTTGACTTGAAAGTCCTAGTCTTTTCACAA